AAACTACAAAAACGTTGTGGGAGGGGTGGGACATTACTCCCTTCGGTTGGGTGGAGATGAGGGATGACCAATTTGGGAAGTGACCAGATTGGAGAGTGAACAAAGAGGGCCCCACAGAGCCCCTCCAAGGGGCCCCTTAGGGGCTCCGGCTGGCTGCACACGGGGGTCCTCAAGGGCTTGTTTTTTCGCCCGCCCGGTACGTGCCGCGCCCGGACGGCACGCCGCGCCCCCTCCCGCGGGGCCCCGCCCCCCCCCCCCTTCCCTGGAGGAGCACGACCCCAGCGAGCGGAGGCGGGGCGGCCCGGTCGCGGACGCCGTCAGGGCGGCGGGGCACGAGGCGAGGCGCCGGGGTTTGGGGCGAGAGGGGCCGTCCAAGTCGGGAGCTTGGCATCGCTCGGACGTGTGCATTTTTCCTTCGGCGAGGACCATCGAGAAGCATCCTTGATCACTTGGCGAAAAAACCACACACGAAACCGAACAAAAACACGGAATGGATGTCCGAGCGATGGCCAGGGAGCCCAGAGAGGAGGGTCAGTGCAAACAGGCGTCAGCCAGAGCTCAGAGAAGGAAAAGGTACCCACACCTAGGGAAACGAAAAATGGCCAGAAGCATACAAACTCGGAGGTCCCCGCGGATTTCTCGGATCCGCGTTGGACCCCCCTGACGGCGCCTCCAGCGCCGCCATTGGCGCGCTCCGCGCGCCTAGGAGGGGGTCCAGCGCCGATCCGAGAAATCCGCGCATACCTTCGAATTTTCATGTTTCGGTCATTCGTCGTTCCCCTAATATACTGCTATCCCTGCCTCGTTTTCCTTTTCGGGGGCCTCCAGGGAGGCCCTCGTCGCCACCACTGGAGTCGTCTCGAACTTCGCGTCAGCACGCAACCCAGGAGAGGTCTGGGGAGCAGCGGTATGAATATTTGTTTGGCTTCCCCAGCCAGATCGCCGGACCTTTCGGGATCTTGCCGAGCGAGGGGTGCATTGACCCGGGCTTGCGCACAGGATCCTGCAGGATCTTGCAAAGCCCGACTGACCTGGGCTTGCGTTGACCTGGGTCAGTGCTTCCCCGACCAAGAGGGCGGCGATGATTGGGGTGTTGATATCATGACCAGGGCCACGATCGTAGTGAAGGGGCCAGGCGGTCTTACATCGACTGCACGTAAGAATGACCCTTCAGCGGAGTGACCTCTGGTGCGAGCAAACTGGGGCCCCCCGATCATCGAGCGCAGTGCGACAGCAGCGGCTTGCGTGCCTGGGTGTCGCTCTCTCCCCCCCCCGCGTCTCCACGAAAGCCACGCACCGAAGGTCACTCTTGCCCAGAGGGTGTGTGGATTACATGGCCAGGGCTTCCCCTCTCAGGAGTTTGAGGTTGCGGTTGGCCCCATCACGCGGCGTGGTGGTCGCAACCGCATTGCGGTGCCCGCAGACCCGCAGTGCGCGCATTGTGGTGTCTGGCGCAAATTCATTGTCGTGCTCGCAAGCGTTTCCAATACCATTACTATTACCACCACGCTTCGCGCAACCCCACTGGCTCATCCAGAAAGGATGCCCAAGCGAGTTGCCCTGTTCAGGCATGTAGGGGAGCACGCTGTAGAGTGCAGGGTTCGCGGAGCCGTCATACCCCAAGAGGGGGAGGATGGAGGAGGAGTGGGAGGAGGAGGGGGAGGAGGAGGCGGATGAGGTGGAGGGAGGAGGGGGAGGAGGGGAGAGGAGGAGGAGGAGGAGGAGGAGGAGGAGGAGGAGGATGAGGCGGATGAGGAAATGGAAGAGGAGGAGGGCGAGCAGAAAAGCCAGAGGCCTCTTTGATGCCTCTCGGAGTTTCCTCGGATGTATCTTGAGACTTTCTTGTCGACCTCTTGGAGCCTCTTTTGATCCTCGCGGCGGTCCCGGGGTCTCTTGAAGCGTCTTGGGTGCCCCGGGGAACTTTTTCGGGCCTCTTGGGGTCTCTTGGGGTTCTCTTGGGGGTTTCTTGGGGGGGCATCTTGGGAGCCTCTTGGAGACCTCGTGGGGTCCTGGGCGCCGCCTGGGGCACTCTGGGGAGCCTCGGGGTCCATCTTGGAGCGCCATCTTGGAGGAGATCGATCAAAGGAGGGGCCGTAGTAGATTAGCTCCTTCTCCCCAGGAGGCTAGATGTCGCCCAAGCCATCGCACAAACACTCATTTTGGCCTGCTCGCCGAGGCCTCTTGGGACGTCCTGGGGGGCCTCTTGGGGCCTCTTGGGGTCTTCCAGGCACCACGTTGGGCCATCGTTGGGCACCCTTGGCAGCCTCGGGGACCATCGTGGGGCCATCTTGTAGGACATCGGTCAAAGGAGAAGAGCTTTTCAATCAGGGTCCCTCCCCAAGCTGGCCAAACTGTAGCCACAACCCTAGTTTGTGTAGCCAGGTTTGTAGGTGGTACTCTGTTATGGTTGGAGGAAGGAAAAACCCGTGGCAAAACATGTTTTTTATATAAAAATGTTGAAACCAAACAAATACACTTATAGTACGCGACATGATTGCTACTATTCCCGTACATGAGGGAAAAGCGCATGCTGAAATCAACCGAGAAGATCGATTCAAAAGCTCACCCGCCCGTTACCGACCCTTTGCGGTCGCAGTGCGCATTGTTGTTTCTGCGCCCGCCGCAGCGTAAACATACATAGCTTGTAAAGCATGGCGCGCGTTGCCCCCCTTCCCCTGCGCCGCTGGAAAGAAAGGCTTAGCTGCGCGAGTCTGCGCATGTTAAGATTACACGCCGCGCGGTTTGCGATGGAGGGACTTGCCGGTGCGATTCATTGAATCCCGCGTTTTCCGCGTGCGGTTGCCCGTGGTGCGTGCGGGTGCTTTGTTGAGCAGCGCCCTCCCCCCGCGCGGTGGCGTCTTTGCCCTTGGGAGCGGGCCAGTTGCGCCCGCGCGCGCCTTCCAAGTTTTGCTTGCGGAGCGACGCGCGGCAAATGTGATGATGCGGTGCGTCGCAACCTGCGCGCGAAACGCAACGCGGTTGCTTTTTTTTCCGCGAGATGAGCCAGGGCCGAGCACGCATACATAGAATGGGCCGCGGGCGCTGGCCGCGCGTGCACCGCGAACGCGTCGGGTCAAAAGTCAGCGGGTCTTGCTCGCCCCCGCCCACCCGCCCAACATTGGGGCCGACGCCGATGAGCGCGCGGATGAGTCTTCGGGCCCCGCCCGCCCCCGCCCTCTATCCCATGTCATGTTGAACCAACGCCGACACAACCCAATCCAGGCATGGCGGCCGAAGGGGGTAGGAGGAAGGGGAGGGGGGAGGGAGAGGGGGCGAGAGTGAGAGGGCGAGGAAGGGATGTATAGGAACTCGATCATCACGCCTTGCCTTCGCCCGTATGCGTCCTCTCACACCGTTGGGTCGGCCCCTCGGCGTCGCTGCCATTTTGGATCGGCTGCCACGCGCGGATTCACTGCAATGGACACTGGCACTGACTGGAGACTTGAAACTTGCACATCTTCACGCTTCGCGTGACCGAGCCAGTCCCTCGCACGTGCATCCCAGCGTTGGCTTTTGGCCTGGCAATTATTTCGCTTGGCCCCCCAAGCTTGCTACGCTTTCTCTGGCACAGGTGCACTCCGGCGTTGGCTTTGGCCCGCTGGCAATTATCTTGCGTGCTGTCCCATGCTCGATACGACCCGCTCTCTGGAATCGTCCTTGGAGCCGCAGATCAAAAAAGTAACCGAGCCAGCCCGTGCAGGAGCCCTCCTCTTGGAGTCCTTTGGAGGGTCTCGGGGTCCTCGCGGGGCTCCTGGGACGGGCCTCGGGGCCCGGCGCAGCCGAGGCCCCACAGGGGGTCCGTCCTTTTCTCCAAATCCATCCCTCCTCTTCCTACTCTTCCTCCTTCTCCTCCCTCCTCCTCCTCCTCGTCCCTCTTCCTCCCTCCTCGTCCCTCTTCCTCCTCCTCCTCCTCCTCCTCCTCCTCCTCCTCCTCCCCCTTGTGACAGAACTTTGGCTGGATCTGACATTGCCTTGTTTTCGCGATGGAGTGTGAGGATATCTTGTTTTTGCTGCCCTCTGGTGCGTGCCGTGTCTGCCATTGCCCAGACCACCACGACCGCCTGGGCCAGGCAGGGGTAACGATCGTGCAGAAGGGGGGAGAGGGCTTGCCCCCCCCCCAACCACACACACGCACACACACACACACACACATTCGCACATTCGCACACACACACACGCACACACACACACACACACACACACACACACACACACACACACACATCGGACGGGGCTAGGACGAGAACACATCCGTTCCAGAACGTTCCCGAACGCTGTCAGAGCGTTCCGCATTTTTCTGAGAAGACCGCGGCGCCCGATACGCCCTCCAGCACCGCTGGATCTCAGAGGTGCTCGATTTATGCTCACCCGAATATATCCTCGCATTGGCTTCGTCTTAGCACGCGAATGCATGCCAGCATTCGCAGCATACGATCGGGATTGCAGCGCACCCCCCCGCACCGACGTCTCCCATCCCCCGCTCCAAAAAGCGTTGACCATACCCCGGGGCCCCGCCCCCCCCAAAGCAGGGCAGCGAGTGCTGCTCGGCGCACGCGCTGCGCGCGCCCGCTTCCTGCCGCCGCCGCTCGGCCGTGAGCACGTCACGTCGAGGACCGTCGTCGTCGAGGACGGAGACGTCACGATGCTCGTCGTCGCCCTCGTCGGGGTCGCTGGAAGACCAAGGTGGGTGGTTCAAAGGTGGGGTCCAGAGGGGTGGGACCCCAAGGAAAGGATGGGATCCACTGTCAGGCTGCCCTCGGCAACGGGAAGACCGTCCTGGGACGGCATCCCCCCAAGCCGCCCTCTTCGCGTTCCTCTGGTTGAAGGCGCGTGCGTGCACCACCCCGCCGATCCAGCCAACACAGGACATGATACGCAGCAGTCTCAGGCCAGTGCCCCTCCCCCCCGTCCGGCCATGGCCGCCGCCCTCCACAGAGGTGCGCCTCTTCAAGTGGACGGCCCCTCTGGTCGTGTTCGCCCTGGCCCTCCTCGTGCAGAGCATGACCCTCTACACTGCCACGCTGCAGCTGATCGCCAAGGCCGCATGACTGCGTCGTCGTCGTCGTCGCGTATTCGTCGTCCTCGTCGTCGCCCTCGTCGTTTCGCCGCCCGGGCCGGCCTCCGAGAGCGGGGGGTGTCGCCCAAGGCCGGCCCCCCCGCCGCCGCGCGGAGGCCCCCGAGGCGTCCGGCGCGGCCGTGTCGGCGGAGGCCCCCGCGGGGGGGGGGGGGGGTCGCGGGCCGCGCTCCCTCGGTAGCCCCGCCCCCGCCCGCCTGCACGCTCGGCCTCCCTCCGCCACTCTGACCCTGCTGTGCTCCCTCCTCCCTCCTCCTGCTCCTCCTGCTCCTCCTCCTCGCCTCTCCTCCCTGCTCCTCCTGCTCCTCCTGCTTCTGCTCCTGCTCCTGCTCCTCCTCCTCCGCCTCCTCCTCCTCCTCCTCCTCGGGCGGCTACACCCATTTTCGGTGGATCAACATCATCATCATCATCATCATCATCATCATCATCATCATCATCATCATCATCATCATCATCATCATCATCATCATCATCATCATCATCATCATCATCAACATCAACATCATCATCATCATGATCCTGATCGTCACACTCCTCCTGCTCCTCCTCCTCCTCTTCCTCCTGCTCCTCCCACTCCTCCTACTCCTCCTCCTCCTCCTCCTCCTCCTCCTCCTCCTCTTCCTCCTCCTCCTCCTGGATGGTGCCTGCCCTGGCGGACATCAGCGCTACGCTACAATCTACCTCCTCCACCTTCTCCCCCTCCTCCTCCTCCCCAGGAGAAGGTGGAGGAGGAGGAGGAGAAGGGGGAGGGAGGACGGTGGACGGGGAGGGGCGGGGGGAAAGGACGGCCAACCCCGCGGCCGACGAAGGGAGGGGAGGAGCAAGAGGCTGAATCGGGCGAGGATAAGGCCAACGGCATGGGAGTAGAGGAGCGGGGAGGTTGAGGAGCAGGGCGAAGACGGGGATAGGAAGCAGCAGGAGCAGGAGGAGGAACAGGAGGGGACAACGGGCTGTCGAGAAGAGAGAGCCAGCGTGGTTGAGCACACAGGTGAGGGTTGGCAGATCATCCTACTCCGCTCCTCGCTATTCTGCCCATGCTGTTCCTCCTTGCGGTCCTGGGCGCGGGTGGCTGGCGTGTGCCCCCCCCTCCCTCCCCCCCCTTTACCCGTCGGTCGTTGAAAGTAGGTATGTATTGGTGTTGGACTTTCGGATCCAAATACATATATATATATATACACATAATTTAGGCGTCTTCCTACCTCAATGACCGAGTGGTGTCCCCTCCTTCTTCTTTGGAAACCAGGCGGAGGCACTGCGTCATGTGTCTACCTACTTCTTCCGACCGCCGGGTATCGGGCTCACGTGGCGAGTGTTGGAAAGGGTAGCTAGCGCGACATCAACGCATGCACGAAGTGAGAGGGAATCATGCAGAACGGGCGAGAGAGAAATAACAAACAACGGGAGTGGACGGACAACGTCATTTATTGTATTGAGGGGCAGCGTGGGCTGAGGACCAAGTCGGTGCTATTCGCAGTTGCCTGACATGGAAGGTCGACTGGTTCACCAACTGCTCTCAATGCGTCGTTTCGATTGTCAATGGTACGCGTTTATGTCTGGACGTGTAATCTAACACCATCACGCAGGACATGTTCACGAACATGAGCACGGCCACCAGAAAATATCACACATGCTTTCACCAACGTGATTTGTACTTCGCAAGTCGGCAGTTCGATCTACTCGCGCGAGCTTGCATTCAAGTTGGAGGTTTGCATACGCGTGGATCTGCTTAGTGATTGTGCATGTGCACGTGCATGCATGTGACATGCCTTGAGGCCCCCGGGCCAGAGGCCAGGGACCCCTGGGCCGGAGCTTCGACGGGTGGTTGCGGTGTCCAGGCTCCCATCCAGCTTCTTGGAGCCTTGGAAGGCACCCGGGGGCGTCTCGTTTGCCCACGGGAGAGCTCCTCGAGACGGCCGCGGCCACCAGGATTCCCAGAAGTTCGCGGAGAGGGCCAGGGGACTCGGGGGTGGCCAGAACCCCCAACAGTGACACGTCGATTAGTGAATTGTCCGTTTTCGGTTCTCGAGAGGGCGCCGTGGCCGTCATTTTCCAGGCTTGCGCCCGCCAGGTTTGGGCCTCAGGTCGCTTTCACTAAACCACGTTTTACTAAAGGGGGGTCTGTCCATCCCCGAGGGACGCCCAGAGAGCCGACGTCATGATTTTTCCGCAGCGCCGGACCCAGGGGTCTGGACCTTTTCCCCAGGACCGCCTTTTCCCGCCGAGTCGTTGCTCCACGATCCCACGGCCGTGCGGGGGCCCACAAGAGACCGAAGACGACCAGAACCCGCCCGTCGTGATCCTTCTGTCCCAGCGCGAGTATGTCGTCGAGGGTCGGGGGTCGGGGGGAGGGGGGACGAGGCCGGCGCGGGGCCCAGGGAGCCGACGCCTTCCCCCGCGACGCGTTCCTCACGTGGTTGGGGGGCCCGCGCGACAGGCCACAGGCGCGCGTCCACGCCTCATTGGGGGGGGGGGGCCTCGGGGTCGAGGGTAGCCGAGGGCAGACCTCGGCCAGCCTCCACCCTCCTTCTCTCGCGCTCTCCTCCTTCCTCATCCTCCGCCGCCGCCTCCTCCTCCCCCTTCTCGTCCTCATCTCGTCCTTTCCCTCCCTTCTCTTCTCCACTTCCTCTCCCGCCTCCTCGTCCTCTGTGTTTGATGGCCGAGGATATTTTCGCTCTGGCCCGTTACCCTTCCGCCGCCTCCACCGTTTCCCGTCCTCCTCTCGTCCTCTCCTCCTCCCTTCCCTCCTCCTCTTCCTCCTCGGGCTCCTCCTTACTCCTCCCTCCCCCCTCTCCTCCTCCTCTTCTTCCTCCTTCTCCTCCTCCTCCTCCTCCTCTTCCTCCTCCACCTCCTCCTTCCCCTCCTCCTCCTCCTCCTCCTCCTCCTCCTCCTCCTCCTCCTCCAGCTCCTCCCTCCCCTCCTCCCTCCTCACACCCTCCCTCCCTCCTCTCCTTCTCCTCTCCCATCCTCCTCCTTCTCCTCCTCCTCCTCTCCTCCTCCTCCTCCCTCCTCCTCCTCCTCCTCCTCCTCCTCCTCCTCCTCCTCCTCCCTCCTCCTCCTCCGCCTACTCCTCCTTCTCCTGCTCGCTGCGCCTGCTCCTCCGCCCCTCCTCCTCCTTCCCTCTCCTCCTTCACCTCTGCTCGTCCTCCTCCTCCCTCCTCCTCCCTCCTCCTCCTCCTCCTCCTTCACCTCCTCCTCCCGCCTCCTCTCCTCCTCCTCCTTCTCTTTCTCTTCTCCGCTCCTCCTCCTTCTCCTCCTCCTCCTCCTCCTCTGCCTCCTCCTCCTCCTCTCCTCCTCTCCTCTCTCCTCCTCGCTCCTCCTCCTCCTCCTCCTCCTCCCTCCTCTTCTCCTTTATCCTTCTCCTTCTCCCTCTCCTCCCTCCTCTCCTCTCCTCGGTTCCCCTCCTCCTCATACCCCCTCCTCCCTCTCCTCCGTCTCCTCCTCCTCCTCCTGATCCTGCTTTCTCCTCCTTCCTCCTTCCCCCTTCATGCCTTCCTCCTTCTTCCTTCCTCCTCCTCTTCTCCCTCCTCCTCCTCCTCCTCCTCCCTCCTCCTCCTCCTCCTCCTCCTCCTCCTCTCCTCCCTCCTCCTCCTCCTTCCCTCCTCCTCCTCTTCTTCCTGCTCCTCCATCCCTCCTCCTCCCCTTCTCCCCCTCCTCCTCCTGTTCTTCCTGCTCCTCCACCTCCTCCTCCCCCTTCTCTCCTCCTCACTCCTCCTCCTCCTCCTCCTGCTCCTCCTTTCCTCCTCCACCTCCTCATACCCCATCCTCCTGCTCCTCCTCCTTCTCTTCCTCCTCCTCATCCTTCTTCATTCTCATATCTCCTCCGCCTTCCTCTGCCTCCCTCCTCCTCCTCCTCCTCCTCCTTCTCCTCCTCATCATCAGCAGCATCCTCGTCATCAGCATCATCACCACCGATCAGTAACATCATCAGCATCATCATCATGATCAGAATCAGCATCATCATCATCATCAGCATCATCATCATCATCGTCATCGTCATTGTCATCAGCATCGTCATCATCCTCATCATCATCACCAGCAGCATCATTATTATCACCAGCATCATCATCAACATCGGCATCATCACCATCACCATCCTCAGCATCATCACCACCAGCACCATCATCATCATCATCATCATCATCATAATCAGCATCATCATCACCACCATCTTCTTTCGCTCCTCCTCATCATCCTCCTCTTCCTCCACCTCCTCCTCCTACTCCTCATCATCCTCCTGTTCCTCCTCCTCGTCCTCCTCCCTCCTCCTCCTCCTCCTCCTCCTCATCCTCCTCGTTTGCTCTTCCTTCTCCTCCTCCTCCTCCTCCTCCTCCCGTTCCCCGTTCCTCCTCCTCATCCTCATGCTCCTCATCCTCCTCATTCTCCTCCCCCTCCCCCGTTTCCTCTCCTCCCTTTTCCCCCTTCCCTCTTCTCCTCTTCATCCCTCTCCTCCGCCTCCTCCTGCTCCTTCTCCTCTTCCTCCTTACCCTTACTCCTCACTCTTCACTCCTCCTTATCACGCCTCACTCCTCTCGTCCTACTTATCACCTCTCCCTCCTCGTCCTCCTGCTCCTCATCATCATCAGCAGCAGCAGCATCCTTCTCCGCTTCCTCATCCTCCTCTTCCTGCTCCTCCTCCTCCTCCTCCTTCTCATCCTCCTTCTCCTCCTCCTCCTTCTCCTCCTGCCCCTGGTCCTACTCTCTCCTGTTCCCCCCTCACCCCTCATCTTTATCATCCTCATCCTCATCATTATCTCTCCTCCTCCTCCTCCTCCTCCTGATCATCATCCCTCCCTTTGTTCCTCATCATCAGCAGCATCAGCATCATCATCATCGGTATCAGCATCAGCAACAGCATCATCATCATCATCATCATCATCATCATCATCATCATCAGCATCAGCATCATCATCATCAACATCATGATAAGCATCATCATCATCAGCATCATCATCATCATCATCATATTGCCTTGTGCCCACCCAGGGCTGGGGAGCTTGTGCTCCTCAGTATGCCGTGCCAGGTGTTCCGACTGGGACGCCTTTGGCTCCCAACGCACCATATCGGAACCGCTGGGCCGCGAGTCTTCACAGGCGACGAGGTCACCCCTTATGCCCTTCCTGCAGAGCTGTTGCTGCTTTCCGGGCGGTAGTTCGTTGGCTGGGCGTGTGCAATACACGGCCGGCCTTCGGGAGACCGACCCGGGGCGCCAGACTCCTCCTCCTCCTCCTTCTCTTTCTGCTCCTTTTTTGCCTCCTCCTCCTCCTCCCTTTCCGCCGCCTCTGCCTCCTCCACCTCCTCCTCCTACTTCCCCCTCATTCCTCCCCCTCCTCTTTCCCTCGTCCTCCCTCCTCCTTCTCCATTCTCTCTCCTCCTCCCCTCTCCGCCTCGTTCCTCCCGAGGTGGATTTTGATGCTAGAGCTTTCTCTGCAGATGCGTCTCCTGGACATTCTGCGCAGGTTTCAGAAGACCTGCTGCTGTTTTTGACCACCATGGTCTTAGAGACGCCCGACGACGGCGCGCGCCCCATCAGGCTCCTGAGTCTCGCCTCTGGTCGAGGCCGCGTCAGCCACGCTGCCATGCATGGGAAAAGAAGCGTGCCGAGGCGTTCTAGTGGGGAGCGGGGGCCCAAGCTGCCAGCGAACTTCAAGAAAACTAGGTGCATGTGCGCGCGCGAGGTCCAGCAGCACGCGGTTGACACGTGGTGTCTGCCAACCTCGTCACGGGTAGAGCACGCGCGCAACCTTGGCACGGATGCTACGAGTGGGAGTGTCAGGTGCATTGGCAATCGGAGGGTTAGATTCGCCGATGCTGGGTCTCGATCGAAGTGGCTTCGACTTCTGAGGGAGGCAGGGGCTGATGTGGCCCTGGTGCAGCGTATGGGGGCCACTGCCTCGGCGCTCTGGGGCAGTCGTGTGTCTGGGATCTCGCCGGCGGCCATGCGCGGCCTCAGGCTGTCGGCGGCCCACGCGCCAGGACGTCACCCCACAGGGGCCTCCTTGGGAATTCTGTTGCACTCCTTCCGCCACGGTGAAATCGTGGACCCGTTTGTGGCCTATGTGGGCCACGTGGCCTTGCAATGGGCCACCGCCGTATTGGACAGTTTCCCCAAGGTTTCGATTATGTTTGTTTCGGCCGACGCGGCTATTGCTCGAGCGAGTTCGAAGACGTACCAGTGGTCAGGGGCGTCGACGCCTGCTGACGTGGCGGTGCTGAGTCTGTTCCGCCTTGGCTGGGGGTTCTGGGATTTCAGGGCGATGGAGACGGACCTCGTGCATGTCTGGCACCTCGCGCAGATCTCACCTGCGGAATTCAGACTCAAGGTCCGAGCCGCGGCCGCCCGTTTGTCCGATCGGCAGACCATTGATGCGTCGAGTCATGGTCCCTCGGGGTACCCTCTGTTCTGGGAGGCCTTCAAGCCCCTCGTCCGTTCCTCCTCGTCCTGGAAGCCCCAGCATCAGAGGGCCCTGAGGAGCTTGCCGAGCAATGCGCACTGGCCCCAGGCGCGGGTGCACAGGCACTGTTTTCAAGGTTGCTGCAAGTGCAGAATGTGTTCGGAGGAGGCGGGGGCGCTGTTTCACAGGTGGTGTCGGTGCGCGGCCCACGCTGCGCTGCGGAGAGACCAGGCGCCACCTCAGCTTGCGCGCAGCGCCGCCCGAGTGCATGAAAATGGGCAGGAGTTCGCGAAGAGGTTTTTCTATGGCGAGTTGTCCGCCCCCCATGGTTTTCTTCCCTGCCCAGGATCCTGAGCAAATTGTTTTCTGGATAAATCAATATTTCTCAGGACGCCTGACGGTGTGAATTTTGTCCGATGGGTTGGCCTCCTGGCCAGCCATCCCTGAGCTGTCGAGGGCAGGCTGGGCCTTGGTTCGGGCCGACCCCTTGGGCAATGTGGTTGGAGCGCGCCATGGGCCCGTTCCGTTCGCACGCGGGTCGACCGGCAAAGGATTGGGGGGGGTTATGCGGTGTTCATGCTGACTCCATGTGCTACGTCGCCAAGTGATTTATTGTGCGACTGCCAAGGGGCCCCGGATGTCCTGCGGGGCGGCCCTGGGGCCGGTGCGTCCGCGCGAGGTCCCGGGGCCTGCTTGTGGGCGCCCTTCTGGTCCAGCTTCGCTCCTGGGGATTTCTCTGCGACAAAACGGCAGCTCACTGCGCGACGTCAGATGTCCACAGTTGCATAACGACCCTGTGGGAACAATGCGCGAATGACTCTGCCGACGCCTATGCGAAGGTGGGCGCAGCCAAGCACCGTCTTTGCGAGGGCGCGGTGAACTTGCACAGAGGGCTCATGTGTCATGTTGAGGAGTCGGCAAAATGGGCAGCCAATCTAGAGGTGCACCTGGCGGGCCAGTCGGATCATCGCGTGGGCGCGGTGGGACTCGTGTCTGGCGAAAAAGCTGCGCCTGATTCCCACGAGCAGGCACCTGTCCCAGAGCCGCCG